TAACCTCTCTCTCCGAGATGCCGCAAATAAGCTGGGTGTATCGTCTACAACCGTGCATCGAGCCAAAAAACGAGCCGGACTATCGACTTACAAGAAGGTAGTGACTCCAAATCGCGATGATAAACAAAATACGACGGCCAAAGCGCGATCCCGGAGGCTGTACACGACGATGCTGACGAAGTTTGACTGCGTGGTAATGGACGACGGAACCTACGTCAAAGCCGACTACAAGCAGCTTCCGGGACAGGAGTTTTATACGGCAAAAGGAAGGGGAAAGGTAGCAGATGTTTTCAAGCACATGAAACTGTCAAAGTTCGCAAAGAAATATCTGGTTTGGCAAGCCATCTGTACCTGTGGCTTGAAAAGCCGCATTTTCATAGCTTCCGGGACTGTCAACCAAGAAATTTACGTGAAAGAGTGTTTGAATAAACGTCTGCTGCCTTTCCTGAAGAAACACGGTTGTTCCGTACTGTTTTGGCCGGCGGTTTCTGCGGCGAAGAAGGTGGACAAGGTGGCTGTACAAAATCTGATGGCAGGGGTCAAGCATAAGGCCCGGCAATTCGGATTTGGAAAAGCGGAAGCCTAACTGAATATTTTTCCTGAATTTTATACTAATTGAACTTGAAAAAGAAATTTAATTTGATTTTTTAAATAAACGATTTCACCGATTTACACGCGTTTTCCCTTGACCAAATTTTGACCGTATCACCCTTTACATCCCGTAACGTACCACGAAAAGGTGATCTACCCACGTTGAAATTGTTGCTATGATAATTAAAATTATCACCGATTGCCTGGGAAAAGCGATTTCCCTAACACATATTTCAAAGTTGAATTCCATCCGGTCTCATCAAACGGTGTTTATTCAATCACCGCGTGATGAGTGGTGGTGTTCTCCAGAACACAACGAAAGGCTCCCCGCAAGCAAATAGCTGTCAAGGCTGCCCTCAACCGCTCATCGGATTCAGTTCAATCACCGTGTGTGGTGGTGTCCGGTCGTCGGCATCAGCAGCGGCAGTGCTTTCGGCGCGTGGCGTTGAACATTGTTCTCTAGCACACAACGAAATGCTACCTGCAAGCAGCAGAGCTACAGTCCACATCTTTGGCGTCACCCCGCATCACCCTCAATCCAAACAACATAAAGCTCACCAGCCTCATATGTGTTTAATACCCTAATAGCTCAGCATTACTCAACCATCACGGATATCATTTGCCATATCAAGATATAGCTGGAATTAGGGCGTAACAGCTTTTGTGCACAATGACTTCTTTCGATGATGTCTAGAAAGTCAAAGCTCCCCCACGTAAATCAACATCACCATTAGGTAGGGTAAGACTTTCCCTACTCGGGCGTGCCTTAAATTCCTAAAGTTCATCCAGAGAAGTCATTGTTTACAAAAGCTGTTTCGCCTAAATTCAGCTCTATCTAGATATGTTTAAATCCAAGAGAGAGGAGCCAGCTCAAATGACAGATGCTTTGTTTTGGTTGTCTTCTTCTTCTTCCTTTTTGTTGAAAAAATTGTTGATGGAAAGAATCATTCAAGCGAGGATGTGCGTTTGTCACTCGGTTTGTTGATATAGTTTTGCCGTCGGAGTGTTCAAACTTGTCGTGAACTGTATGTTGTGAGAAAGTATCTTACTGCATATTGCTTAGAGCTATCGGGTTCGTATTAAACGGGTTTGATTTTGTGAATTCTGGTGATTAGGAGGAGGTTAAAAGTGATACACAGCAGGTAAAATGCATTGTCAAGTGAAGCGTTGCGGCTGGAACAAGAAAACTCACCCAGATGTGTTGTTTCACCGGTCCAAACGATCCATTGCTTCAAGCACGGTGGGTTGAGTTTTGTAATGTAGGAGCTGATTTTAGCGTCACAGATGCAATGAGAGTATGCAACGTACGTAAAGAATACATATGCAAATAATCATGAAACGTGAAAAATTAGAAATGATTTACCTTTTTGCAGATGCATTTTGATGCGATCGGTTATGCTAAGGCTGGCAAAAGCACCAGATTGAGCAAAACTGCAATCCCTACATTGTGTGCTTATTTGATCAATGACGATGACGGGACAAACGACGAAGACGACGGGTACCCAGTGATCCTATCGACATCCTTACCTATTCCTGCCCGTCGCTTCTGGATCACACATACGCTGATTTCAAAGCAATCCCGCCGGATTTTCAATTTGATGACATTGAAAACGCGGATCAAGAAATCATTATCGCCACGGACGTAACGATTGTTCACTTCAATCCCTACAAGTTGTCTCTATTTCAATGTAAAATAAATCCTTTGCGTGAAAACTACTAATAACACCCTCTCCCTGTTTCACAATAAGTAACAGAAACGCCGAACGTCCAAAAACATTTGTATTCAGCACCGTCATTAACTGCCATTTCAAAACAACTATCTTGAAAAAAAAACAATACGCAGATTTTTTTCCGATTAACAATACTTCCCCGACTTTATTGAATCAAAATTTCGGTTCGCAGTGACAGATCAGGACTGGTTCGCATTGACGTTTACGCGATCGGCTTCAAAGCTAGCTGGCGCCTCTCTCTTGGGTTTAAATCTAACATACCATGTTCTTGAAGGCAACATTGGGGTTCAATTTCAAAAACCAAAGTCGGTTGCGGCATGAAAGTGTTCTTATTTTGATCCTGAGATGATGGATTTTAATTCTACGTTTCTGCTAAAATTAAGACTTTATCATTTTTTTTCAAAATGTCACTTTTGAAAATTACACGAGTGTGTAACTGTTGCTATGAAAATTAAAATTATCACCGATTGCCTGCAAAAAGCGATTTCCCTAACACAGATTTCAAAGTTGAATCCCATACGATCTCACCAAACGGTGTTTATTCAACCACCGCGTGGTGAGTGGTGGTGTTCTCCAGTACACAACGAAAGGCTGCCTGCAAGCAGCAAGCTGCAGCTCACATGAGTATCCATAGAAGGAGGAAGAAGCCGCACCGCTATTGATCGGAATCAGTAGCTCTTCGTGAGTCGCTGTGGGCCATCAATGTCAAGCGCGTCATACGGAGAGAACCCCGCTCAAATTCATATTCCTACACAAAACAGAAGCTCCTACTCTAGTTAACAAATAAGATTTATTATATAAGACCACGTAGTCCTACATCACCATTGCGTACAACCCCATTGAGCCTTTGTAGGTTTTTAATTAATGAACATCAGCATTAAACCTGATCTTCCCGATTTTTTATGTTTTTTAAAGATATCGAAACTGCTGATAAAAAACACAGAAGTTCCCTTAAAATGTTCTCACAATTTTCTAACGTTCATGTAACTTCCCTTACGTTTCCAAAATTTTCATGAACCTCTCGGATCTTAACTGAAGTTTTCGGAAATTCCCTGAGTTTCTCGTAACTCATTTAAAGGTTCAGAAATTTCCTTGAATTTATATGTCCTAATGCTTCCCTAAAGTTATCTCAATTTTCCTGAAACAAATGGAACTTTCCTGAAAACCATTAAATTTCTTTAAAATTCTTTGGGCTTGTGAAGTTTTCAAAATATTGCAGTTTCCTTAAGTTCATTGGAGTTCTCTGGGCTTTCTTGAGATTCCCGGGTTCTCGAATTTCAACAGTAGTAGATGAAACTGTCTTTAATTTATCGGAACCTACCCAAAAGTTAACTGTTCTGAAGTTTCAGAACTTCTGAAAAGTTCCTGAAATTTTCCTGAAACTAATGGAACCGCAATAAAACTCTGGAAGCAATTCTGAAGTCCCGGGGAAGTTGAAAAAATTGACAGGAGGAGACGGAATAACCTTTCGAGTGAAGCCAGAAGAAGCTTCCAAGGGAAGTCGAAATAGCTTTCCGGAAGGAATCGGTAAATTATTTTATAGCGTAAGGTGGACGGAAATGCTTAGGGAAAGTTGGAAGAAACTTCGAAGGGAAGATTAAAAAAATTTCAGGAAGTTCAAAAATTAACGTTTTTTGGACCTATTTTTTCCACTGAATAAAAGTATTTCCCGATTTCCAGAGATTACTGAGATGAGCCATCAGCTGTTTCTCAACTCCTTGGTAGCCACAAACACCGAGGAAATGGAAGCATTAGTCGAAAGAGTATCCCCAACAAACATTGAATGTTGGATAAGAGCTTATTCAGGCAAAATCAAGCTTCTTCAGCTAAAAAATAGCTTATTCAGCTGTTGATCAACTCAAATTGTTTGTTGGGTCATGCATAAGACATTTTTCAAAATGATTTTTTTTTAGAGTAGGCTCAAAAATTTTAATTTTCAAGAGATAAAAGTCTCTCACAATAGTTTTCTCTGACAATTCAGTGCGGGCAGGCAGTAATAATTTTGATTATTAATAAAAAATCGGTATTAATCGGTATTGAAACTCAAAAATTTGTATTCTGAGAAAGTTTATCTGTATATCGGTATCAAATTTGAAAATCGGTATAAATACCGATAAATTGGTATATCTGGCAACGCTGTTATTCACCCAGGTTGACGAGTTCGTTTCATCTGCGAGGTATATCCGAGCCCTTCGTGCGTCACCGTCACACCACTTCTTCAGTATGATTTTTATCAGCATCTTTTTCATTGAAAACTTTCTTCTTAATATAGTCCAGTAAAGACCGGGAAACTTGTTAATGCTATGAATTCACGGGAATTTCACTAGCAAAACCCACCGCACCGTAAGATTTCACGCAAAACCACGCCGATGACCTCCGAGCAGTTTTCGTCTGCAAGTCTATCAAAAGTAATACCAACGAAAAAATTCCCCTCCGTAATTCGGTGTTAGTATAAATTTGAAATAGTTTAGTTTAGTAATATTTTTGAGTGCACGGAAAATTAAATGTAGACAATCCGCCACATGGGCTTAGTTTTGACATTGCAATTTGACAGCAATCTATTTTTAGACGAGTTTACTGCGCATACACTCGTCTAAATTAAATTAGACGAAAACAACAGTTTTTTTGCTTCAAACGATCTGTCACCTATCTCCACTTGCAAGCTTCTTTTTGTTTCTTCGATAATTTTTTCGGGCAGTCCATTCGCCACCATCGGAAGCAAGAGAGCCCCGGTAGGGACAACCGTCGTGAAGTGCTTCAGGAGGATTCCTGTTCCTGTTCGGTTACGGGTCGGTTGAAGTGCATGGAGCAGCTGGAGTTTTTTAATTCAAAATTTGCTACACAGTGTTCCGCTTCCGCAGCTGCTGCAGTTTGATTCATAAAAAAAAAATCTTGAAGAATAAGCTGCCAGGGATTCTGCATCCTGGAAGAAAGTGTCTATGTGTGAATAGGGGATTTTGTGTGTGTGCCGTACAACTTCTTCGCATTACTGATGGTCGGAATCGACTTGGAAAAGGTGCGAGGAGAAAGGAAGAAAAAATCGCCAATCAATAACGGCGAAGAGTGAAGAAAAAGTTACCCGTTCGATGTGCGGAGCTCCCCTTTCTGGAGCGTGAGAGTGATTTAGTGTGTTGCAAATTTTACTAGAGAAAAAGTTGAATTTGAGTTTCGGAGAAAAAAATCTTAATCAGTGCTTGTGTGAAGTGCTAAGGGGAAAAAAAAACCTGATTGGCATTTAGGATATAGTATGGCCACCACCGGACCGGGTGTCACAACTCGAAACGGCATCAGGGATGCGAATGGGCCCCGAGTGGTGACGATCCACAAGACGGAAACGGGCTTCGGATTCAATGTCCGCGGCCAGGTTAGCGAGGGTGGCCAGCTGCGGTCGATCAATGGTGAGCTGTACGCTCCGCTGCAGCACGTCAGTGCCGTATTGGATAATGGAGCGGCCGAGCTGGCCGGTATCAAGAAGGGTGACCGAATTCTGGAAGTGTAAGTAGCACTAGTAGTTGTACCGCAAATTAGATTACGGGTATCGTTCGGCCAGATAGAGCACGTCGACGACGATCGACATGGTATGTGGGTACTACCTACTGGCTTTTGCTTGCCGTGCTAGCTTGCCAATTTGCCATTCTCCTCCGGCTGACGAAGGAGAGAGAACCTGATTCTGACCACCCCATTAGGCGAATCTGGTTGTGTTTTATTCTTTGTTACGTTCGTTTGTGTATATTTTCTGCCTTGAGCAGGTTTTGCTTCGGAGCAGCAGGTTTTCTTTTTTGCATTATATTGCAAAGTCACTAACCGGAGAATAGGCTGGGAAAAAAGAGGATAGTTGGAATGGTTCTAGATGAAAAACATTACCAAACATCATTGCTTCGGAAGCAATGCGATTCTGCGTCGCATAGACATGAGTGTCTTGTGAATTGCTTTCTTTGATATCTTACATTCAGCGCTTATTATTGAGATGTCAATAGGATTGGAAAAAAGATGCAGAAAGATAGAAGGTGTTTTTAATATTTTACCTATTTTACCTAAGAATAGAATACAATAAATTAAAAGCCTAAGTCTCAGATTGAAACGCGTAATTTTCAATTTTAACCGATGAAATATTTTCAAGCCTTCTGCATCTTGTTTCTAATCCTATTGCCCAACTTTCGACGAAAAATGCAAGTTCGATAAACGTTTCGATACCCCGTGGGACGGTTGCTTCTACCGACTACTAATCTGAAAGGACTTTGGACTTGCCCTGAGAATACTGCCGCTATAACATAGAAATCCACGCGGCATTTCTCATTCGAAGTGACAAGTCGCAGCCGTGTTGTTTTTGAAAACTTAGCTGTTTTAAGCATTACAAACTACGTTTTTGTTTTCGATCTTTTTAGATATTAGATGAGTCAATGTTTTGCCTGCAGCTCTACTACATCAGTGGTATGAATCCGCTACATAAATCAACCCTTTGTCAGTCCAGATTTTAGGTTAAAGCTAGACCAACAATTGAAATTGGCGAAAAAACCAAACGCTTTAGATGCAAATTTCTCGAGAATCAAATCATACCCATGCAAACTAAGAATGCTATTCAATAAAGGAAGTTTGCTCTACAAGATGCTGGTGTTAGATTGTGTGGATCTGTTTTCATTCGCGAGACTCTTGGGTCATTCGTGACTTTTCCGGGGTGAGATTTGAACTCGTGACTTAAATATTCTACATGTACACTGCTGTAATACGCATAAGAGTTCTACGGTTCACTAGGAATGCATAGAATATGGGTAGTTATGCGTATAACAGCAGTATAGCGTATATAAATTAAATCAATTATCAACTCAAACGAATGAAGGTATTTTTCAGAAATTTCGATCAACCTTGGAAAGGCTCTGCTCTGCTCTGCTTGTCCGGTGGACGTCAATTATTAAACATCAACCATCGCTGTTACTTATGCAAACATCTTAGCCAACTTCTTCCGAACCATTTATAAATCCGATCAAACTGCACCCCCGCTGCAGTACATCGAGCATTTACCAACCAAAGTATGGCATTGGTCTGCAATAGTTCAACTTTGGACATGACGCTATTTGCAAATCCATCTTTTTAGTTAACTAACCGGAAGGACAAGGACCACATCGTATTCCACCAACGTTCATCAAGAACTGTGCAGCATATTCACAGCGAGCATAATTACCAACCTGTCGACCCTGAATTTTGTAACCAAAGTTCTAGCCTTCTGCATGACACGTTGAGTTCTAGCATGGATCCATGAAAAGGCGCTCTACTATTATGTATACATATCTCCAATTTGATGAGTTACATCAACGCCCTTCATATTGACTTCGAGAAGTGTCAAGCTTCACCAAAACTATCTGTATTGTATTAGCAAGGCAGTCGAAGCGAATCTGTCCAAAGTAGGCTATTGGATTTTTTTGGCGCATTTATTGTATTTCGCATTACAAACCACAGAACAATACTCAAGCGCCGATCGCACTGCTCCCTGATGAAAGAGGCAAAGAGATTTTAAACAGTGAATATCGGAGAAATTCTTAGCTATCTTCAAAATGAATCCTCGACGCCTTTTCAACGACAAAAATGTGTTGCTTCAATAATTGTTGCGTTGCAAAAACAACACCCAGATCTTTCACTTCAGTCACTCGAATGCCGTGAAAAGCAGGTCATTTCTACATATAAGAAATCAGATGATGATCAGACCAGTCCCAGGTGGCTTCACTATGATATACCTGATGTTGCACACAATCCAACGACAAACCGACATGAATGAGCATTGAAATCAACCTGAACATTGCATTAGGTCCTGAGTAACATTGACAGATTCTCTTCGTCGAGTTTCTCTTTGTATCCCCATGGCCATGTAAAAACATTCCCAGGTATTTTCAGCACACAGATCGATAAAATAAGCTTTTATGTAGCATCTAATATGACAAACACAACAAGAAACGATAAGGTGATCCAAGAGACGTTTCTCAGTGGAACTGACAGCTAGAAATCAAGAGTGTGTGAGTGATCTGGTGTTAATGGTGCTGAATTCATATGAGAATGAACTGTCAGTTCTACTGTGATCTGTCAAAAGTTCTTGGTAAACAAAAAAGTCAGCTGATCGCAACTGTCTCGTGGACAGCCTTGTTATGTGCTCAAGTTATTAACGAAAGAGAAAGTCGACGAAGAGAATCGTTCAATGTTACTTAGGACCTATTGCAATGTTCAGCTTGAAATTACCATGAATTTTCTGATCAAAATCAAGCTGAACATTGCAATAGGTCCTAAGTAACATTGAACGATTCTCTTCGTCGACTTTTTCTTTCGTTAATAACTTGAGCACATAACCAGTTCTTGATGTGTTTGTCATATTAGATGCTAGATAAAAATTTCTTTTATCGATCTCCGTACTGGCAATACCTTTACATGGCCGTGGCGATACAAAGAGAAACTCGACGAAGCGAATCTGTCAATGTTACTTAGGACCTAATGCAATGTTGAGCTTGAAATACACTGTTGACATCTGTTCCCATGATCGCGGAAAACGTTTAGCCACGCACACGCTTACAAAATTTATGAGTTGGTTCGTGTCTGATCTATTCGGGACAAATTATTTTTATCTAGTTAAAAAATACTATGGTTTTGACAGATCGGATAGCTGCTCATTTGGATCGACCGTTATTGATTTTCTAGTTTAAGTTTATGGTCGGTCTGTCGGTGCAGAAGCTAGCTGTTCTGCAATTTCCTATGACAATCATAAATTGGCGACCATTGAAGATACCAATGGAACCATTTTAGAAGAATCTTCTGAGAAGATTACCGCTTGCATCAATGATTTCGCTTATGGAAGTCGGTTTAAATAATTTCCGTCCGAACCCTTTCAGCCAAACTATCGGTAATGTACGATGTGAGGCACAGCAGATTGGTGATTAATGGCGACCGCCATTAAACCCGTGCTGATAGGCACTTAGATACGGATTGCAAAGCGAAAGGAACGGTTCCATAATAATATTTCCAAACAGCACTCAAAGATGCAATTCGACGATAGTTATGCACGGCTCGTTTGCTTCCCTTTATGTGAACAGGAAAAATGTGTGCAAATTCGCAGCAGGATGGAAATATGCCTCAGAAGAGGGTGGGGATATACGAAATAGATGATGAGGAGGAGTTGGTAAGCCAACTATAGCTGTTATTTATAGTTTTTGGGAGAGGATACTAAGTATCCCACACATGAAGAACAGCGATATGAAATTGTGACATAAGACACATTCTGCGAAATAAATTCGGCAACCGGTTCTTTCCCGGGTTGAAGGACGATTTGAGTTGCTCCATGACCTTAGAGATAGATTATGTTAACGTTGACATCAATTGGTCGTCATTCACTCTCACATCACCGAACACACTGGAATTATTTTTAGATGTGGCACATATCCTGAGGGGAGGCTGCGTTCCAGAAGGATTCCGTCTACGTTCAAGAGTTTCAATACACATGAGTTGGCAACAATCTTCGTATGGTGGAAGGTTCGTTGCATCATTCCAAGGAAGGTGGCGAAGAGCGTATCGAACGAATTTCCTCTTAATAGACTCGATCCTCGCTATCCAAACTGTTTCATACGGACACCATACTGCCGCTCTTCGCATTTCTATCCCATGACGAAAATCAGCAAGCCGAAAAAATCGCATTTTAAGCTTGATATTCGTACCATTACTTCTTATGTTCATCCTGTATTCTGAAAATACGGGTGATTAGCTACCATTTGCATTGAAAAACAAAGTTTTGACAAAAACTGCTATGGGACCGACATGCGAAAAGCGGCGGCATACTACTACACCAAATTCAGCGTTTATCGAACCGATCGTTCTGCTTTGAACAGTACCAGGACACGTGGTGGAGGTGTTTTAATAGCTGTTTCTAACAAACTCGAAGCAGCTTTAGTGCAAACCTCTTCGGGTGCAAGCATGGAGAACATATGGGTAAAGATCTCATCCGAAACAAGGTCTCTTCGTTACCACCAGAGAAGTCCGCTGATTGCGAGTGCATCCACGCTGACATTGTTTTGGAAATTAATGGAATGATGGGTAGCGATGATGGGATCATCTTTTTCGGGGATTTCAATCAGCCTCGAATCGTCTGGAAATCAGTGAACAACATCTACGCATTTGCTGATCCTCTTGCATCAAATTTTTCTCAAGCTTGCCGCATTCTTCTGGACAGCCTTGGTTTTGGAGGGTTTAGACAACGAAATATGATACGCAATCACTTGGACAGAACGCTTGATTTGTCATTTTCGAACATTTTTGCATGACAGATTGCAGTTCAGTTGATGAGGCCCCGGAGTCGGTAGTGGATATCGATCCTCATCATCCAGCTCTTGTTTTCACGGTGTATTGTTCAGCAATCTTTCCATTTGTTGAGAACGTCGATGAACATAATCGTGACTTTAGTAAAGTTGATTATGACGCACTCAACTCTATGCTTTCTCAAGTTGATTGGTCTACTGTTTGTCGGT